AATCCATGGTAATCTCTATCCATAGATATTCTGGTATAGGTAGTGCCTATAATTCACTATATAGGTGGTGTCTCTTTACCTTTACCTGCTGGCATATATTACATATCTATATATATTCTTACATATCCTGGCGCATTAATGGCCAGTAATATTTTCTACTTAAGAGTTCAACTATTTTGGTTGCTCTAAAGTGTCCTGCATAAGGGTTATTATGGTATCTTCTTATAAGCTTAAACTTTACTACTGGGTTATCTAGTATATAGACTTAACCCCAGAATAGTAGGACATCCTAATAGTTTACTAATTAATCACCTACCCTCTTCCTAACTCACTCTTCTAATATGTTATATTTGCTTTTAGTAATTTCATATTAAGCTTATAATTCTTATAGAATATTAGGGATCTCCTTTTCCATATAGGCTGCTTTACCTTCCATGGCTCTCATAATAACATAATATAGATAGGTGCTTTTCCCTACTTACCCCACTGTTTACTACCCATGATACCCGCACTTTTCCTATATCTAGGATATGCGAAGACTGTGTAAGGCCGCAGTTATAGCATCGCTATAGGGGCTCGCCTCCCTATACTCTGGACTAGTCCCTGGCTATTACCCTATATACCTAATTACTTTTAATTTATTTTTAAGTACTAGGGTTATATATATAGTACTTTCTAGTAATACCATTAACTTTTAGCGCAGTGTTAGAAGCAGGTTATCTAATAATCTTTCTTCTATTATATAGTCTAGGCGTCTTAAGGGCGTATCTGCGGGATTAGACAGACCTGCGCAGTAGTAAAGGATAAAGTTATACCCTACTAATAGTATAGCTTATCTGGCTTACCTACTATTAAGCTGCGCAACCCTTATAAGTCCAGTTAGATTTCTATAGTCTATATAGACTTTAATTAGAGTAGCACTTCCCTTCAGATAGTGCCTCCACTGCTTGAAACACTCTATAATTATAAGCAACTCTTAATTATATATCTTATACCTTATTTTAGTATCTTTTATTTTATATAAATAGAATACCACTAGGCGCTATTAGCCCTCTCTATTATACTGGGATAATATCCCTACTATCGCAAATTGCGATATATCTGTCTCTACCCTAATTAGTAGTTCTGGATTAAAATATCTGATAACTGGTGCTATTATAAATATATCTTATAGTATCTAAAATAACTACTTTATACTTTTAATCTACTTAAATAGTTTTATCAGCTTACTATTTTTTATTCCCTTTATAAGGTTAGTTAAGCCTCTTGCAATCTTTATATAATCTTTAATAAATTATCTATAGAAGTTACAAAACCTGAGGAATATTTATGCTTCCTTTAGGGTTATTAGTGTAGGCCATTCCTTAATAATTACTACTCTTACTCTATCTATATATATACCATTTATTCTAACCACAAAGCTGAGAAACTTAACCTTATTAGTAAAGAACTTATACTTTTTAAGGTTATAGTATAGGTTATGTGTTTATAGCTGCGCAAGTATTGCGCGCACGTCCCATATATAGGACTCCTAATCCTTTAAGTAGATGAGGATATCATTAAGGTATATGATATATATAGTATTAATATAGTTCCCTAATGCCTTATTAATATATACCTAGAATATTATAGGTGTGTTAGCTAAGCTAAATAGTATTATTAGGTATTTGTAGTGGCTATAGCGTATATAAAACACTATCTTCCACTTATAGCCTTCCTTAATATATATTCTATAGTATATATTCTTAAGATCTAACTTTATGAAAATCTTTACGCCACTTAGTTAGTCTAGGATCTCTAAAATAAGTAGTAGGGGGTTCTGTTCTTGATAGTAACCTTATTAAGGCCTTTATAGTCTATATATAGGTATAGCTTACTATTCTTCTTTAGTATGAACAGAATGGGTGCGCCTACAGGGCTCATGGAGGGCTTTATCCACCTATTCTATAGTGCCTTACTGAGATATTCTCTAAGAGCCTTAAGCTCCTTTGCTAATATATAGTAGATTAGATAGTATAGTGGTTCTGCCATTATCTTAATTATATAGTCTATACTTTTATAACTTAGTAATATTATTGTAGCTTCTTTTTTAAAGATATTTATAAAATCTTATAATTTATTAGGTAGTATATATTCCACTTACGCCTTCTTTAGCTCTATACTTAGGAGGAGTATACTATAGTACTTATCTTTATTAATCTCTTTCTCTGCACTTATTATGTATATTATTGGTACTGTATCTTTAAAGTACTACTTCTCCTATCCTATATTAAGGAGAATATCTTATTACTTTATAATGGGTATACCTAGGATAATATATAATTGCTCTTGGTCTACTATAAATATAATTACTGGTATAGTCTTCTTAACTTTATTTAAATCTTCTAAATATAGTTTAATTTTATGTATCCTAAAGCAGTCAATATCTGTAATACCCCCTTAATGTAGGTGAGGCATGTGTATATCTGCTTCTGGGAGGTTAAGTTCCTCTATAAGTCTTAGTGTTATTAGGCTAACATCAGCTCCTGAGTCTAATATAATTTTAATATTCTTACTACTAGTGGGGCCCTTAATTATCCTACTTATATTAATTACTTTCCCTATAGCTTTAAGCTCCATATAGGTTATATATATAGAGATTAATGTGACCCTAATGCTTTTCCCTTGTCAGTTGTTTCTCCCTTTAGCTTATGATAGTCTTATGCTATATATCCAAACTTATTATACTTATAATATCTTATTTTTAACTCTTTCTTTTTATTAGTGGATAGTTCAGGGTCTTCTAACTTGTGTTTTAGATTTACTAATTCCCTACTTTAATTATACTTAAGGAATATATTACTGTCACTGAACTTTTATTTTGAGCCCATGTTCACCATCTCTATCTCTATTTTCTTCTTGGTTTTCTCCCACCTTATAAGTAGTATTATAATACTACTATATATCTCTAGTATTATTAGTAGGCTTACTAGATAATACTGTAAGTCTAATCTAAGTTTTGTAATAAGGTTATTGTATTTCTCCTTCTCTATCTATATAGTAGTTATCTAGGTTTCTAAAGAGGTAAGGTATACTTTAAAGTTAACTATAGTTTAGCCCTTTCTTTAGATTATTTAAGTATATACTATATAGATACTTAGCTTATAGTTTCCTGGATCTTCAAGTTTGTCAAGTAGGAATATTATAAGTTCCTCCTATATATTTAGCTTATCTCTTTTATTTCTAGTATGGTTAGACCAAGTTATCCTTAAGGAGCTTATAAGAAATTATTAGGCCTATATAACCTAAATACTTTCTTATATAAATCTCCTAGGTACTAGTTGAAACGCGTTTGTAGCGTAGTTAATCTAGTTAGTATATTCCTATAGTATTTTTCCCTTATATTCTGGAAGGTCCTTTAGGTAGATATTCTTCCCTTAAGGTAGAGTGCTTAGTAGTGTTGGTTTAGGGGTTTTAATATTAGTGTTCTCTAGTTGACTATCTTTAATTATAGTGGGGATATTATAAGTTAACTACTCTTTAATTATAGCCTCTATTTATACTACTCTCTCTTTTAGTTCTTTAAATTAGATCTTTCTTTAAAGGTCTACTTCTCTTTTCTTTAGTTCTCTGATTTATTTATTAATTAATGGTATTAATAATAAGGGTTCTGGTTTAATAGTAGGTATAGAGATATTATTATTATATAGTTATTCTAATATCCTAATATCAGGCCTACGCCTTTATTTTAGTAAAGAGTTATTAGAATTATAAGGGGTGAATATAAGCGTGATATCAGGATAAGGAGTAATAAGTATAGATTAGTATTAAAATTGATGATTAAGGAGTTAAATTAAGATGGATATTATGTGTAGCTTAAATACTGCTTCCCCCTGGAGCACGTGACCCGCGGCCTGAGCGCAGCCGTACCGTGCGTATGTTCCTACTCCGTTCCTCACAGTATAGCTGCGCTTAGGCCGCAGGTTATATACTCCAGGAGAAAGCAGTATTTAAGCTATATATAATATCCACCTTAGTTTAACTCCTTAATCATCAGTTTTAATACCAATCCATACTTATTGCTCCCTATCCTGATATCACGCTTACATCCACCCCTTACAAATATGATCGCTTTTTCACGTGATTCCCATGTTACTCTATAACAGCTAGCCATCTGGTAACTAATACTCTAGTAATATCTAAGGTAGGCCAATTTAGTTAAGTAATATATTGGTGTTATGAAGTAACACGTGAGGGAACATATAAGGAGCTTATTAGGATCATTCTGTAAGAATAAGCTGAATAAGCTTATTATTCAATCATATAAATCTTATATATTCTTAATTAGAGGAAAGGCTTATTCTATCTATATTCTAGTAATAAATAAGGTAATAAGGAGCTATAATCTTTAATCTATAAAAATACCCTATCCCTATCTCTATTATAGCTCTCTGTAATTTAACTATCTAGTTTATCTAATAGTTAGTTTAAATATATTCTTATACTCTTAAAGTTTATACTATTTTAAATTATAAGTATAATTATCTTATTATTAGTCCTTTAATAATAAGCCCTAGTTATATATTATCCCTTTATTTTAGAAAGCTAATCCATTCTAAAGTAGCTTATATTAATAAGGTTAATTAGCATTAGAAAGATATTCTTAATATAAATTAAATTACTAGTTATTAAATAGGGTAAAGAAATGATATCTTATATCTACTATTTCTTTTAGAAATAGTAGTAGTTAATGATAATCTAATTTACTAAAAAAAGAAAGTTAAAATAACTATAAATATAAAATTTAAAAATAAATTATAGTAGTTTTAATAATTAAAATTTATTTTATGTCTCTAAATAATTAAAGACTTTTAAAATTAAATTTTAGTATTTAAATATTTTTTAATAATTTAATAGCTATATTTAAAAATATATATATTAAATATATATATTTTTCAGCTATAAATTTGGGGATAAAACTCCATATAATAAAAAAATTTGTGGTATTATTAAAAGATTTCTGACTCGGCCGAGGTTTGAACTCGGGACCTTCAGTGTGTTAGACTGACGTGATAACCTGAATTAATTAGCCTAAATTAGCTTCTTTAAAGCAGAATTAGATAACCTACCAACTACACCACCAAGCCATTTGATTGGTCCGTCCTTTATTCAAAAAATATATATATTCATTTAAGCTTTTAATATTTTTAGTAGCTAAACAGATTCCTTATCTTCATTAATTTATGTCTGTATATGGAAATATATGATATACTAAAAAAGGAGGAATATAGTACTAACTGTCATGGGGTCACCCCTATGACACGTGATTGGCACTATCCTGTTATCTGTCTGATTAAAGCAGTACTGATATTAGCTAATATAACCTAATATAATCTAATATTACCTAATATTAGCTAACTGGACTCCTAAATTAAACTGACTTCCTAATTTGATTTTACCATACGCGCACCCAAATCCTAATTAGGAAAGATATAATAAGGCCCCCTTTATATTCTTAATAAGAATTACTTTTAGGCCTTCCCTTCTTTATATAATATCTTAATTATTATATAATACTTTAGTATAATATAACTAAATAGATAATTAATAGCCTTATTAGTTTACCTTATATAATAACTTAAGTAGATTATTTTTAGTGATTCTGTAATACTATATTATATTAACTATCCTTACTAGCTATAATAATAGAATGTTAGGAATACCTTCCCAATACCGACTGGCTTCACCAATATAAGCCACTTCGGAAGGGGTTAGCTTCCTAGAGTAAGGGAACAATGTATAACCAGAGCTTATTAAGGAAGGAATATAATAAGATAGTTATATTTATAACTTAGAGTGATATAAGCTTCTAAAGTATAAGAATATATTTAAACTAACTACTAGCTATACTAGATAGTTGAATTATGAAGAGATATAATACCTGTAGAGACAGGATATTTATATAGACTGTTTTCCTGATATCCTTATTACCTTATTTATTCTGATTATTCTTGGTAAAATGATCAGAATAATTACTCTAACCAATCAGAAATATCCTAACCCTTAATCATTGGTTAGTGTGCTTATTTTAATTATTTTCCTAAAAATAATTAAAATAATCACTTATATAACCGATTATATATTACTTTATAACACCATTCCCCTCCTTAGTAAGCTTATCCTAAGTTTCTAATACTTAAGGAGTTTAGTGGTTACTGATTAAGAGATAAAAATATCTTTAGTCTCTTCCCTTTACTGTAAATATCTTGCTTCTGAAATTAAGGAGTCAGGAAGCATTATAATTCTCAGTTATAAATATTATTTGATCTATAGACTGATTTATATTACTATATCTTCTTTAAAGAGTATTAAATATATAAACTATACCTATAAAGGAATAAAATGCGTTAATATATCCTAGGAAATTCTGGATAAAACTAGGGAAGAAGCCAAATCTGCTATAGAAGAGAGTTTTAAGGAATTATCAGAAGTTTATATAAAGTAATAATAACTAAACACCAAATAATAAAAGCTTCTAGCCTAACTCTCCCAAAATTGGAAAATTCTGAAGATAGCTAAAAGTTATATAAAAGTAAAAGTAATTTATTTAATAAATAAGCTGGAAGAGGAAGAAGAAGCTAAATAAGTAAGAAATAGTAGTTACTCTAATAGTAAGCTTTATAAGCTTATAGATAATCTTACTATCTTTAACTAGACTATTAAAACCTAAGGGGTTTTAGATATATTAGATTCTTATAATAGAATTGTAATAGTTTAAGTAAACAGTTAAGGTTTTTATATAGTTCCTAAGTATTTTCTTCTGGTAGGTAATTCTTCTATTTTATAAGGTAAAAGTATTAATATTATTTAACTTAGTAGTCTAAGATCTTCTTAACCTTATATTCCTACTCTATAAGGTCTTTTAATTCAGTTTCTTTATTAAGAGGAGTTTTTGGATCTGCTTTCTCTAGTAATAATATATAAAAAATAGGGTATATTCTTATACTTTTAGGTAGTTACAGTTTATAATTTACTAGTCCTATAATCCTTTTAATTTTAAATAGTCTAATTTTAAGAAAATTAAGTTTACTACTTTAGCGCTTGGTGCGAATATTTCGTCACTAAAGATAAACTTTATCCCCTTCTTTAAGGTCTGGTCCCTCAGACCTTTTTTGATTAGCTTAGAGGATTATTTTTTTATTTAAGAATATAATATTAGATTATAATTAAGTATAAAGTAATTATAATTCTTCTATAAACAGTATTACTTCTATAGGCAGATATACTAATATATTAACTATTAATCTTAGTTCCTTTCCAAAGTTCGTGTAATATAGTAATATTCCTATAATACTTTATTTAGTTATATTATATACTAGTACTACCTATAGTAAAAGCTATATCTAATTATTTTATTTATTATTGATATATATCTGCAAGTATTATTCTAATATTTGGTTTATTTATTCTATCTAGCTGTTGCTCTATAGATGATATACTATTAATATTCCCTATTTTATTTATAATACTTAGTATAGTTCTTTTTAGAAATAAGATATAAATATCTTATCCTAATTAGAGATAATCTTCTCTAGTATGCCAAATTTCCCTACTTCTTTTAAGAAGACTTTTGCTAAGTAAGAAGCGGTAAATTACTAAGGAATTAGGATAAATATTGCATATTTTGTTAATTAATTAATAGTAATTATAATATTTTTATATTCTATATTATTTTTATTCTTAAAAGGTGGTAATAGTCCGATAAAGTCTATTAATACCTCTTACTAAGATTTTTCTAGTACTTAGTTTAGTTAGAGTAACTTATAAGGTTTATATCACTTATACTTGGCTTTCTTATATAAATAGTAAGCTCTTACTTAAGTAAAAACCTTTTATTATATCCTAGGAAAGTAATAGTTTTATTATAATCTTTCCAAGACTTCTTCTACTTTGGCATATCCTTACAATAGTGGTTCATGATATCTAAGTATCTATTCTTTCTTAAGATTTGGAGGTAAGATAATTCTTCCTTTATATATATAGACCTGTAACTTATTATTATAGTCCATATATTATTTAATAAAGTCGCTTTTCAATTATTTAGTTTAAATCCTCTAAATCTTAAGTATATTAATTTTTATTAGAGATACCACTTGATATATTATTAAGTCTCCTTCCTATCATAAAAGAGTATATTTAACCTCTATTCCTTTATTATAATTAATTCTTCTACTTAATATATCTATATTAATATTAAGTTTTCCACTCCAATATTTGATCTTAAAGTTAAATAATAATAATTTATATAATTATTTTAACTATTATTTATTTAACACTTTGGTAGTGGTGAAGTTTTGAAGATTCTGGTAATCTAATAAGACTAAGAATGTATCTTTAGTGCTTTCTAAGTAATATTACTAGTATTTAAATATGTTAATGATTACTAGTAGTTCTTAATCTAATATAGAATATCTAGTTTCTATATCTATAAATTTCCTTAAGTGATAGGCTATTAGTTACTATAACCTATCTTTATCCTATTAACTTAAGACTATTTTAAGAGTATATTTAGAAGTATCTATCTTAACTTTTATCAGCTTTCTCTTATCAAATAATTATAGTACTGGTGTAATTATAACTAATTTCTTAAGCTTATTAAAGGCTTTTTGAGTGTCTTTAGTCTACTAAAACTTTTAGGAAGTGACGCTAGTATTTTCCTATTTCTTAGTAAGTTTAGTAAGTGGTACTACAATCCTTAAATATCTAGGGATAAACTATTTGTGAGGAACGGAGTAGGAACATACGCACGGTACGGCTGCGCTCAGGCCGCGGGTCACGTGCTCCAGGGGGAAGCAGTATTTAAGCTACGCACAGTATCCATCTTAGTTTAACTCCTTAGTTGTCAGTTTTAATACTAATTTATACTTATTACTCCCTATCCTGATATTACGCTTATATTCACCCCTTATAATTCTGATGACTCTTTGCTAAAATAAAGGCGTAGGCCCGGTATCAGGATGTCAGAATAACTGCGCGATAATGGCATCTCTATACCTATTATTAAATCAGAACCCTTATTATTAATACCATCAATTAACGAGCAAATCAGGGAACTAAAGAAAAGAGAAGCAGACCTTCGAAGAAAGATCCAACTTAAAAAGCTAAAAGAGAGAGTGGTATAAATAGAGGCTATAATTAAAGAGTAGTTAACTTATAATACTCTTACCACTATTAAAGATAGCTAATTAGAGAATACCAGTACTGAAACCCCTGAACCAACGCCACCAAGCACTCTACCTTAAGGGAAGGATATCCACCTAAAGGACCTTCCAGAATATAAAGAAAAAATACTATAGAAGTATACCGACTGGATCGACTGCGCTATAAATATATTTCAACTTATACCTAGGAGATTCATATAAGAAAGTGTTCAGGTTGCCTAGGCCCAACAATTTCTTATAAGCTCCTTAAGGACAACTTGGTCCAACCATACTAGAAACAAAGGAGACAAGCTAAGTACATAGGAAGAACTTATAATATTCCTGCTTGATAAACTTAAAGATCCAGGAAACCATAAGCTAAGTATCTATATAGCACACGCTTAAGTAACCTAAAGGAAGGGCTAAACTATAGCTAACTTTAAAGTATACCTTACCTCTTTAAAAGCCCAGATAACTACCATATAGACAGAGAAGGAGAAACATAATAACCTTATTATAAAACTTAGATTAGACTTATAGTATTATCTAGCAAGCCTGCTAATAATGCCAGAGACATGCAGTAGTGTTATGACGCTACTTATAAGGTAAGAGAAAACCAAGAAGAAAATAGAGATAGAGACAGCGAATATGGGCTCAAAACGAAAGTTCAGCAATAGTAATATATTCCCTAAGCGTAATCAGAGTGGGGAACCAGTAAATCTGAAACATAAGTTGGAAGACCCTAAACTATCCACTAATAAAAAGAAAGAGTTAAAAATAAGATGTTATAAGTATAATAAGTTTAGATATATAGCGCGAGACTATTGCAAGCGAAAGGGAGAAACGACCAATAAGGGAAAAGTATTAGGGTTGCATTAATCTCTACGCATGTGACCTGCACAGGATTTAAAGCTATAAGGAAAGTAATTAATATAAGTAGGATAATT